TCTCTTAGTCTTCAGGTCCAGACCAGCGCTGCGGACCGCCCGGCTTCCGACTCGCCGACTACCGCGGGTCCTCTCCCCAGTGCGTAAACAGCCAGGGAGCGAACATGACAACTCACCTTCCTCTAATACTGAGGTCAAGAAAGAACGGACCTACGCCATCTTCATAGCGTGGTGCTTAATAAATACTGGGAACAACTTCACCTTAAAAATGTGTTTGAACGCTCCATTTATCACACAGAAAAGATCACAATATATGTGACAAATCTGACTAGATCTTACCAGTATAACTGACGGCACACTCGAATATGACACGATAGGTAGAATGGGACGGATGTTACTCGTGTTCACATTCTCTGTACCCCTCTCTTCCACTTTGTATGGAATCTGCAAGCAACACAGCTGTACAAAATGGGTCGCACGTGCCATGTGACTGATATGTGCAATAAAACACTTGGACGCTCAGACAGACATGACATCTCCATCATGCACTCAATTTATGCAATAACACGTAAAATGTATTACTTCCTAAATTCCTATTAATTTTACAAACATCAAAACTGCTAAAGACTCAGGTGCAACAAAATATTTTAATTTTTAATCTTAACATAAAACTTGGGGATATAATATTAAAATGAATTTAAAGTATACAGGATGTCAAATGGATTTAAATTACTCAAAATTGAGTTGAATGGCATACTCTGGCATTAGCAGTATTAAACCTAAAATTCTATTACCAAAGAATGAATTAGTTACTAAAACTAAATTTATACTAACCTCTAAATGTGTCTTCGCAATTGCAGACGCAAAATCATGTCTTGGCATCACTGTGGCACCTCTGCCTACCATCGCTCTCTTTGGCGTTGCTGCGCGGCAGAGTTTCGGTTTAACATTGGTGACTAGCGCAGGGGACGGAGTATTGTGAATATACGCTCCCACAGGACTCACAATCGTGTTATAACCCAAAGGCCTTTTACAAGGTGACACCACTTTAATTGGTTTCAGTGGACTTTTCTTGGCATTTCTGGGAGGACGCAGCTTTGGAATATGGGTGCCGTGAAACAAAGGTTTCACTGGTACTTTGAAAGCACTTGGTTTCTCACCCCCCAAATTTACAACTGGTGAGACAGTCTCCATTTTACTGTGGAACTTCCCCAGAGTTGTGGTTGGTTTTGGAAATAAAATGCCACTTGTTGACGGAGTTGCAACACCGTCACAGGGTACACCTTGAGACGATGGCACACGACTCTTTATCAAGAGACCTGAGGCACACACCTCACGCTCTGTAGAAGCTTTAGAGCAATCCTCATTGGATATCTCAACTACATTTCTAAAACGAATTGGATCACCGAAATCTTCAAACCCCGCCTTCTCAGTCAGTGGCTTCTTTGGGGTCGACACACTGTGAAAAAGAGACCGCTCGTCTAATCTGTCAGGACACTCCGTGTTGTTACCACTCATCATGTAATCCATCCCAAACTTCAGCAACATTTCCATCTCCTCCAGAGTATCATTGAACCCTTCTTCACAACTTGACTCCAAGTTATTCACGTTCTCAATGTTTTTCCTGTCATTCTCATTAAGGTCACTCTTGGCATCCATTTCTCGAATGCATGACCCCATGTTATCATCATCAAGCACAGAGCACTCCTGAATAACAGATATTGAATTATCACCGTAATCATCGACACTTTTGTTTCTCAGATCCAATCCAGAAGGTTCCCCTTGTACTCGCCCCTCCTGCATAAATTTTCCATTAGTTTCATGCGACTGACCTCGCTTCTGCACGTTGTCATATTCCTCACGTACACAATGAAGAGCAGTAGATGCAGAGGCACAGTTCAATTCCTCCAAAACATCTTGTGAATACATGTCAGTGTTTTCTGCTAGTGCAACATTAATGCCTTTGTCACTTGCCTGCTTCAAAGTAGCATGATAAAGAGCAGCTTCAGACAGAACAGACAGAAAGCCTCCATCCTCATCAGCACTGACCATAACATTATTCCTGACATCACCACGGTCGCCATTAAGTTCTTCATTGCCGTCATCCCTCACGGATGTTTCCGAACAGTCATCGGCATCAGAAATCAGCGAATACTCGGCTACAATCTTATTATATGAAATGTTACAAGGCACTGACTCTGTCTGCTCTGGTATTTTGATATCAAATTCTGGTGAAAGTGGTGCATCATCCAGCTCATTATTATGACTGGTGCCTACATCTCTTGTCAGGCAGCCCAGGGCAGCGAGTGCTTGATCAACCTTCTGTCTACCATACTGACGTTCAAGATCTCCAACAAGAGTGCTCTTACTCAACAAACTGTCATGACACCCCACTGTTTTTACAATTGGTGAAATAAAATCCCCTTCAGAAATCAATCTTGAAAAATTACAACTTTCCAACTTGTCAGCAATAGCAGAAGTGTCTACCATTAGTGGTTGATAATTCTCGCCAGATGATTCAAATACACTGGAGATGACTTCCAAACTATCATCACTCAAGACTCGAACTTCCGGGCTGTCGGGGCCATCTTCATCTGATGAAAAGTCATTTTCAACATCATTCAAAGTTACAATGTCATCATTTGAGACTTTAGATGATAATGGCTTCCTGTAGTCATCAGGCACATTAATATGCTGTTTCTTGACACTTCTCAGCTGCCGTGTCAGTGCATCATGTTGTTCCATCTTCTCAATCAACATGTCCCGTGCCTTCATGTCCTCATCTGACATTTTCTGCGTTTCACCTGTAAAGGCTTCATCAGTGGCACTTGCTTCCACAGTCTCCCTGCAAGTCACCACTGGCACTAATGACAATCTCGCTGTATTCTCCACTAAACTGTCATCCATATTTGACAATATTGAGACTGATTCATTAAATCCAACAGAGGAATATGAGACGGTGTGTGCATCTTTGCACGTACTGAACTGTCCAATGTCAGAATATCTGGGGAAGAATGTGAGGTGTGCTGGTGAGCTATGCTCCTCCACCTCATCTGCACACCCCTCTTCTTCAGCAATTCCCCCAAGATTAACATACGGCTGTTGGCGGGTATGACACGGAGTGGGGTACGGAGAACCATTGTACCCACTAAACTCAGGACTCGGCGGAGGTGCTGGGGTCTCTGCCTCTTCACTGTCATCATTCATATTGCAGTCAAATGGAATGTCAAGACTTCTGCGCTTCCACATCTTTGTCAGGTGTTCTTTGTGTCTAGGAGGTTGTAGTGGAAAGGTAAGGTTCTGCACTGCCTCCTTTTTATCTGTTACAGCAATCAAAATGTGACCAGAGTTCACTGAAGTTCAAAAGCAAATTAAAATACACAGTTAAAACAAACTCTATTTACACTCCATAAAATAAAATGAAAAAATTGTGGTCCTCTTAATGTCCCTAGAGGACTCTTCTCATAAGGTTTCATAAAAAACCATTTAATATGTAAAGGTGTATTTCAATCAGCCCATTTAAATATGCGCAACTGAATTATCCTAACAGCATTATGACAGGTAAAAAAGCACAACTCTAATATAATATTTCATTCATATCCCAGGCCCTGTTCTTGGCTTGGAATGAGAGACCAAATGCAAAACTATGACAAAAATTAAATTTGGTTTTGTTGTTACAGTTTCTGGTACTGATTTTACAACCTTCCACACACTATGTCTGCTTTTTGTCATACCAGTTTATACAGCATTTTCAAACAATACTTTTGGATCAGTGACAGCTGTTACCATAATGTACATAATAAACCAGCAAAGGAAAAAGTTTTGACAAAATTTATGAGTTCAAATTGAGCTTGAATTAAAGTAGAAGTCAAATTTTGAACAAAATGCACAAAAATTAAATTCGCTTTGGTGCATATCCTAACACCAAATTTCATAAAAGCCCATCCACTCTGAGATAAAACATATGACAGAGAGAGAGAGAGAGATGATGTCCCCATTATGCACCACATTGAAACAACAGATAAGAAAAAGTTGTCCTGATGATAGCTCAGTGTAGCTCTTGCAAACCAGGCAGTACATGAATATGCAAAATGCAATATTTCAGCCATTACAGAGCAACAATGAAGTAGAGAGTGGTACTGCACAAATTAATGACACAAACACAGCATTAATAAATTTTCAAAACTATTTTACCTGCAGAGGTGTCACCTGGAGTTACATCAGCACACCTAAAAGTATTAACACAGTACATTCAGTAAAACAGCAATTGCATATCTACACATATATAAAGGACATTCAGGTTTTACATAAGAAGTAAAGTAGGTCATTGCAACACTCATCAGATTTGAACAATTTTCCGTAGTACTATTTCTTATATTAAACCAAAAACCCATGAACACCTTCCAATGGTCAACAATGCAGAACCAATTCCACATATTATTATCCATCCTCCTTTCCAGCTTCGTGGCAACACTTTTTGCATCTATCAACTAAACTACATGTTCAGCCCATAACCTACAAGTCCTGATTCTCCTAACCACAGAGTTCTTTGTGAGCATCTGAACTGCCCCCTTATTTCTCAAAATCAGGAAGCAGGATTTACATATTGATAATTTGAATATAACCTCTGAAGCACACTGCACTTTGACGAAACAATAGCAGTAGCACAGTTATACATCACAAACACACTTTTCCACAAAAACAACTCCCTTGATACAGGCATGCTCTATGTGTGTATTAAGTAATTTACTGTTTCTGAGTATCCAAATTACAGATCTGTACAATATTTCCAAGAACATAAAACACTTTTAAAAAAGTCAGAACCCATAATAAAGTTCATGTCTTTACAAAACAGAGTAGAGGAGCAAAATAATTTATATATTAAATTTGTTTATGAATATATGAAAACAATTTTCATAATTACAGACTAAAAAGCTCAGCTATTAAAACTGTCATACACTACAGGACATTACGCCACTCTTCCCACCATGCAGCACCCTTGAGAACAGACTGTGAACTCTTGACTTACTGACACTTACTCTAACACTTTTGTCTGCCTTCTCAGTGTTAAAGCCTTCCTGATTTCTTTCGTTGTGATGGGACCAAACAAAACTTCATCATCACTGCTGCAGTATGAATTCACAGCCTCCATGGCTAATTCCATAAGCTTTTTTTAAAAAAAGAAGACAAAAATATACACACACATACACTAAAAAAAAAACAAGCTAGGCTCTAGTGCAAAACTTTTACAAACCATTTATAAGTTGGACAAGTTATGTGGAATCACACACCCAAAATTCAAGCACAGTATTATGAAGTAAAATTATAAAAGTTAAGTCTGCAATACATCCCCCAAACCATAACAACAGCTAAATAACTAACACAACACAAAACTATTGCGGCTGCATTATGATGAAATGGCTAAACACAAGTATTAAAAAAGATTACTGATCTTATAAACTGGAGGACGGTTATGATCCACCATTTGCAAGCCTTCCTTTCACAAACCTGGTAATACGCTATGCGAAATTCTATGATTCACTTTACTTCGTGGCCCCTACATTAATTATATGATGACTTTGAGAGAAAGAAACTTAACTTGTAAATTCACACATTTCAATGTTGGGGAACCATATACATTTGATAAAAAGAAATTGGGATGCTATATAGCTCACAACAAAATGCATTCAAACCGTTAGAACAAGAACTAGTAATACTTCAGAAACACGAAAACTTATCAGATTTGTCGATCTTATTATACTTGCCTTTAAAAACAATTTAACACATCTAAAATAATAGTATTTAATGTTTCTGTCCTACTTTACATACAATAAATGTATCTTAAATTTGACGCAAACAAAAACCACCCATTCAAATAATCGGTGCTACCAATATTCACATGTCAACGCACGAATACCCTTAACATAACCAAAAAAAGAAATCATTGCAGAAAAAAACAGTGATTTTGTTCCTGAACTCTTTGATAAGATTTCTTTTACTCACAGTCCACTTTCCTCCTCAAGTATTTTATATCTACTGGTCAAAATCAGCATCAACATCACTAATTCAATGTCAATGGATTGCTGAAATGAAGGGGGGGGGGGGAAACTCCCACATTCAGAAACTTTCTTCTCAGTAGTTGCCAATCCCTGCATCGAATGACGTACATAAAATATTGTGCTGGCATCTATCACCTGTAATAGTGAAATAACTAGCCACTGCCAAGAGCTCATTCGATAACAGCTATTACTTCCAACCGACATCTTTTACCTTAACCCACAATAAAACACACGAAAAAAAATATTTATACACAGGTATAATTGACTCTATAGCCCTGATGGCTGCTTTCTACATAAATTACCACTTGTACATCTAATGACCAGAAAATCCCTCTCCCAATCTCATAATGTTTGAGAGAATGTTTAATCACCTTTCAGTTAGCACATGTATACTTCATCCATAATGCAGAAGACAGGACCATTCCATATATTAAATTTATGTTAAAATAGAATTTATTTATATTCCATAAACCCATCATAGGCCTAAGCCAAGGATGTAGAACAGATCATAGCACAAATACAATACTTGTTTCTAGTACAAATATATTTTGAAAATACCCTGGATAGAAATAGTGAGTAAGGAGGAGATATTTAGAAGGATCAGACAGATACTGTGTCTGATAGAGCACATGAGGATGAGATGAAACAACTGGATTGGACATATCATTAGGCATGAGAGTTTGCCGGCTTTCATCTTGGAAGGGTCTGTGGAGGGAAAGAACTGTAGGGGCAGGCCTAGGTTGGACTATATAGGACAGCTCGAGGAGCAGCTGGGCTTACAAACCTATGTGGAGCTGAAGAGATTAGCACAGGACAGGAACTGGTGGAGAGTTGCTGCCAACCAACTGCAAGGTTGACAACCTAAGAAGAAAAGAAGAAGTACAAACATAAATATATAGTTATAACAGCTATTTACAAATTTTTGAAACTACAGTATTACAGCAAAATAATTATGATGAGTACTATCACCATTGTTACTTACATGTATTTATAAATTCTTCTACTGCGTAGAAGGAGCTAGATAGGAGATACTATTTTAATGCTTGGTTATAATATTTTTGTATTGTGGTTTAAACTTCTGATAGTAGGTGTAAGATTATTCAATAACCTGATTCCAGTATAGTAAACTCCTTTTTGATATTTACTGAGGTTAGAATTTAGCTAATGAAGGTTGTATCTGTATCTTGTTCTCATATTGTGGATATCTGAATTTGTTTGAACTTTTTCCATGTTATCCACTACAAATGATAACAGTGAGAGCAAGAATTCAGTGGATAGTCAAAGAATATTAAACTTCTAAAACAATTCCCTGAAAGAGGCTCTACTTTTAATGCCTGCTATTATTCTAATGACCCTGTCTTGGATGTAAAATACTTTTTTGCTGTCCTTTAAATTTCCCCAGAAAATTATTCCATAAGACATGATGGAATGGATATAAGCAAAATAAACTAATTTTAAAGTTTCTGTTTTCATGAGTGCTGCAACTGTCCTCATAGCAAACCATTCTGAGCTTAGTTTAGGTATAAAGAATTGAATATGTAGCTTCTAGTTTAATTTATTGTCAATTTGTAGGCCAAGAAATGTAGTTGTTTCTATTTCCTCGATTATTTTATCATCGTACCCTATATTTAGATTTATGCAAGTTCTGTTGTTAGTAAAAAATTTCATACTTGTTTTGTCAAAATTTAATGTGAGTTTATTGGCTTTAATCCATTTGTTCAATGTAGCTAAGACATCATTTATGCAATTTTGAAAACAGTCAACTTCTGGATGTGAAATAAATAATATTAGTACCATCAGCAAAGAGTATAGGTTTAGAATGGGATGATCGCTGATATTGACATATACAACAAAAACCAGAAGACCAAGTATTAAACCTTGAGGCACTCCATGTTTTACAATGCCCAAATTTGAGTAGGTGCTATCATTTGAATCTGATGATTTTATTTCTACTTCTTGCTTTCTGTCATGAAGACATGATTTAAACCACTTGCCGGCTATATTTCTAATTCCACAAATATTTAGTTTTGATAGTAATAATTCATGATTTACACAATTGAATGCTTTAGCAAGATCACAAGATATTCCACCTACATGCACTTTTATTATTTAGTGCACTTAAGATTTAATCTGCAAAACTGAACAGGGCTTCATCAATTGAGAGATTTTTTCTAAATGCAAATTGTTCACCCGCAAAGACGTTTGATTTTAAGAAGACACTTACTCTCTAATACATAATTTTTTCAAATAATTTAGAGAATGATGTTAGTAATGAAATTGGTGTGTAATTTTATATAGAGGTTTAACTTTTGAATATTTGAGTCATTCTGGGAAAGCTCCTACTGCCACTGATTGATTGTACAGATAACTTAGAAGAGCACAGACCCAGAGACAACTGTCATAGTTTACAAATATTCTGAATTCCAGACAACCATGCTTACAAAATTGTAAAAGAAATTCAAATTTATTCTATGCCAAGCTCTCATTTGCAATGTCTGCCTCTACAATTAATGCAAGCTAATTTCTTTGCAGACCTAACTGCAAAATTATATCCATTACTTTTATATCAGTGAATAAGAAAATCATCAGATCAAATAATGCATTGAACATACCTGCACATTTAAATTTGAAAAAGTTTATTTGTTACCATGTGGGAGCACCATATAAATGAGAGCAACTTTTAATCAACACTAGCAACATAATCAGAAAGGAACAAAGAATTTGGAACTGCATGCATTCTTCAGATTTGGTCTGCTCTTAATTATTTCATGAATGCAATTTTTATGTGCACTATAATTCTCATGTACACAAAATCTGTCACATTTTCAGAGGACTTCTAAGATTTTGTTCTGAATTCAGAAAATCAGGCTTAAACTTACATTGACACATCATTTCCTATTTCTTTATCAGTCACTTTCTAGTACCCAACAGTTTCCTTGTCTCTCCTTATTCACCCGCTTTATTATTTATGTAATTGCAATGTGCACTCACCATACATTGAACGAATATTCTGTGGGGAAAAAATATAAAACAAGATGCACTCAAAATGTTTTAAAGTTCATCACCATAGCTGTTTTCATTAAAGTTAAAGTAAGGTACATTTGTTCCCTGATTCCTCGGAACATTTTGGCTTTAAAGGAATAAAATCATACATTTAAAAAACACGATATATTTGTTATAACTGAACAATTTAATTCATGCAAGTGAAATTACATGTACATATATTAATATGAAATATTATGACTTTGAACAACCTATATTGCCATCAATGGCAAATTCTACATTAAACAGTGTATGATTATGAAAATCCCTACACAAGATAGATGAAGAAAACTTTATTCCATGGCTATATGTTTAATCCCACTGCCAGTGCTTCCCTGGCGTAGGAGGATACCTTCCCACAGTAACAGCAGAACCAGTGCTGATAGCCTCTCCACCACCAGCAGTAATATCAATGCGTCTTGAATCAGCCAGTACTGCTGGGGGTTTAACTTCCCTCCTTCCATCGCGCAAATGGTAGTAATTATCTGACAATATGTGAGCAGGACCCTCCGGAAGGTTAGGTGGTGGCTGTGTTCGAGGAGCCATACCTTCTCCAAACCGCAAGGCATTTGTATGTTCCCTTCCAAGCAGGAAATTTCTCAGTTTTTGAAGTAAAGGTGACACATCTCTCGGTTTCACCTTGTACGACATTTTGAACGAAATTCGATTTATATGTAAGCCTACCGAGATCTTCTCTGCCTCCTATTTCTCCTCTTATTTTCCTGCTTAATAGAGAACCATGTTGGTACTAACTGTGGAATCAACGAATACAACCTGAAACACAGATAAAATCAACGAACACAACCTGAAACACAGATAAAATCAACGAACCTACCGAACATCACATAAAGCAGAGACGTTGTGAATACATATCTTCATAGTGCTAAAGGACGGTCTTCTGAACGGCACACCAACAACTAAACTCATAACCTCGACATTCAGCACATTATATTAAGAAGTTCGACTTGTGCTATTACAAAGTACAAGACCTCCGCCACAAATGATAGTGACTACTGTTTTTTGCAGCAGCAACGTGGTTAAAATTTAAATATGGATGTTGAAAACTGCAGAACGACCCAAACAATACATGGGATTTTACCCAGTGACACACAGGAATACAATTCAGCCACTATAAAAGACAATTTGAAAGAATTATTCCCACCAGGATACATGAAAGGAAAGAAAGAAAACGATATGAAAGAGCTTGGAATGAATTTTTCAGAAATGGATTACAGTCTAAGTAAAATGAATAAACTTACACAGCATCTCCAACAAAATAACGAAAAACTTGACAATGAAATTGACAAAATAATATGGTCTCAAAATAGAGCCAAACTAACCTTAATCAGTCAAAAGATACATCACCAAGGAATTATTCAGACTATGGAGGGGCATACAGCACAAGTAACAAATACACACGACTATTGTGACAAAACATTCAACAGACAAAGGCTGATTGACAAAATTTCCTCACTGAAGAAACACCTTGAATCACGCTACAAAGTAACCGAACAAAACCACACCCAGGCATCAAAAATTAAACAAGAAAACTTGATACTGAAGAACAGAAATCACGCCATGTTCATTAGGCTTGCCAGGCAACACCAAGAAGTACAAATACGTCGACAACAGGCTTCGGAAAAACTGACCATCCTCCGCCAAGCGTACAAAATGAGTTGAATACAGTAGAAATAAGAGAATCAACGTATGATTTAAAATATCTCAAATTAGACATATCTAGCTCAATTTAGGATGTTGCGCTATTGTATTCAGCTGCAATCTTTGAAAGTGTTTTGTTTTTCATTGTTCTTGCCTTCAGCGTCCGTATTATTCAAATGTTCTCAACAAACCAAGGTTATAAAAATATTTTGAATTGCTACATATCACACAACACTTGTAACTTTAACTTTTAGTTACAGTATATTCCTTTTAACTGTTAAAGCCCTGTTCGGTTTTACAGATGAGATACAGGGCATCTTGGTGAAATATCTTGCAAAGACATTAAATTGTGTAAATCATGGAACTATTACTATTAAAACCAAAGTTTCATGAAATTCAAAATATAGCTGGCAAGTGGTTTAAATCACAACTTCAGGACAGAAAGCAACAAGCAGAAATAAAATCATCAAATTCAAATGATAGCACCTACTTAAATTTGGGCATAGTAAAACATAAAGTGCCTGAAGTTTTAATACTTTCGTCTGCTTTTTCTCGTAAATATCAATGATCTGCCCCCAGCGATCAACTCCCATTCTAAATCTATAGTGTTTGCTGATGATAGCAATATTATTTCACATCAAGAAATTGTTTTCAAAACTGCATAAATGTGTTTACTAGATTGAACAAATGGATTAAAGCCAATAAACTCAAATTTTTTACTAACAGAACTTGCATAAATCTAAATATAGGGTATGATGATAAAGTAATCAAGGAAATTTCTTGGCCTACAAATCAACAAGTTTAACTGGAAGCAAAGATATTCAATACTATATACCTAAACTAGGATCAGCATGTTTTGCCTTAAGGTCAATTGCAGCACTCATGAAAACACAAAATTTAACTTCCATTCCACCATGCTATGTAGAACAATTTTCTGGGGAAATTAAAAAGGGCAGGAAAAAGTATTTTAAATTCAAGATTAGAATAATGGCAAGCACTTAAAGGTCTCCCTTGCAGTGAATCATCCAAGCTTAATATTCTCCCTCTACCCTGCAAATTTTCTCTCACTACAATCATTTGAAGTGGATAACACGGAAGTTCCTGATGTTCACAATATGAGAACAAGATAGATACCTTCTAGTGCCAATTTCTAACCTCAGTAAATATCAAAGAGTAGTTTACTATACTGGAATTTTCCTACATCAACTAGCCTACTATACCTCCAGTACTAAGATGTCAAGACACCATTTTCCACAAACCACTTGCAAACACTTCTTGTACATTACCTGAGTTATCAAAAAGGACAACTGTTCAGGAATTGCCTTCAAATCACTGAATCCAAAGGCTGCCATGTAGCAGGTAACCTTGGGGAGAGGGTAACGACAAAGACACTGGTTCCACTTCATTCAGTGACAGCACAGGAAAATGAAGGGGAAGAAACATGATTACAGTACACATTACATCACAGTAAAAGCTGATACCAAGAACACAACAACCAATTTAACACTGTAACTGATGTAGTGCAGGAAGCTGTGCCCCGTCGTCTGGTAGAAGTTTCCTCTTCTACCAGAGTACATGCACAAGACAGAAGACAACCATCATGAGACAGCTGTAAAAACCTCGTATCCTACAATGTAATGCAGTTTTACATTCTGCACAAAGTTTCATCACCCCTACATGTAAAACCACAATCTAATGCCTAGATGATCTACTGATCACATTATGTAAATTATTTGTTTTATACAATTAAATTATTAAACTTAATACTGAAGGGAACAGTCAGTACAAGAAATCAAACTGATATGAACTAGCCTCTCACACACAAAAAAGCCGTCTTCTGGGTTGTAGCACTGTAGCACAGCCCCATCAACCTGATGATGGAGGCAGCAACCACCTCTGAAATGTTGGAAAACTTCTACTAGATTACATAGTGATACAATCCAGATGACACATGTTCCTTCCCCATTGAGAGAACTTCAAACCTTCCAAATCAATAAAGCTCCCTCTTATACAGGACCTGAACTTCAAAAGCAGCAGATCCTCTGAGGATCACACAATACATACTCCTACAGCACAAGTTCTGTGCCATTTCCATTCAGTTTTTCAGCAGTTACAAGTAAATAAAACCAGCAAACACAATGTTCAGTTACCACTTTCACCTCAATTAACAGAATAGTCAGGTGGGTTAAACCTCTTGACACAGCTCACTGCCTGAGAAGTCATCATCATTATCTGCAATATATACAAGGTTTAAGACACATTCTTCTGTTTCACATGATGGCATAAACAAACAGAATGGAGAATGCCTTGTAGGACCAGCAACATTCCTTCTTCTCGAATCTTCAGATCAATGGTAAAATGGGTTTCTCTCTTCAGCAGTAACTAGAGCATTCAGCATCAATTTCTGTGGATGGAAACAAATATTTCAATTCATGAACACAATTTTTGAACATGGCAACAAAACTTCATGAACAAGTACAAGTATTCATTGTGATCAGGCCAAATGTTTATGTCCAGTTATACTATAAGGGGGAATGAGGAACTCTGAGAAGTTGAATACAATGATTTGTCTATGTTACACAAACGTATTACAATTTAGTCTACAGTACTGAGTCCATATAGAAATTCTATGATTCACTTTACTTCGTGGCCCCTACATTAATTATATGATGACTTTGAGAGAAAGAAACTTAACTTGTAAATTCACACATTTCAATGTTGGGGAACCATATACATTTGATAAAAAGAAATTGGGATGCTATATAGCTCACAACAAAATGCATTCAAACCGTTAGAACAAGAACTAGTAATACTTCAAAAACACGAAAACTTATCAGATTTGTCGATCTTATTATTTAAATGGACTGATTGAAATACACCTTTACATATTAAATGGTTTTTTATGAAACCTTATGAGAAGAGTCCTCTAGGGACATTAAGAGGACCACAATTTTTTCATTTTATTTTATGGAGTGTAAATAGAGTTTGTTTTAACTGTGTATTTTAATTTGCTTTTGAACTTCAGTGAACTCTGGTCACATTTTGATTGCTGTAACAGATAAAAGAGAGGCAGTGCAGAACCTTACCTTTCCACTACAACCTCCTAGACACAAAGAACACCTGACAAAGATGTGGAAGCGCAGAAGTCTTGACATTCCATTTGACTGCAATATGAATGATGACAGTGAAGAGGCAGAGACCCCAGCACCTCCGCCAAGTCCTGAGTTTAGTGGGTACAATGGTTCTCCGTACCCCACTCCGTGTCATACCCGCCAACAGCCGTATGTTAATCGTGGGGGAATTGCTGAAGAAGAGGGGTGTGCAGATGAGGTGGAGGAGCATAGCTCACCAGCACACATCACATTCTTCCCCAGATATTCTGACATTGGACAGTTCAGTACGTGCAAAGATGCACACACCGTCTCATATTCCTCTGTTGGATTTAATGAATCAGTCTCAATATTGTCAAATATGGATGACAGTTTAGTCACTAACTCCATGACTACTACATCCTCAACTAGGGCATACAAAGGATCTATAAAATCTAAATAGTTTTATTCTATTCGCAATGTAATTTTCGCCGAAATTCTATCACTCAAGCGGGCAAAGACAATTTGTCGAAAACTTACTTACAGAACTACTTACATTGAGACGTTATTCTAACCTCAAATTCGAAAAGCACTTACAACTCCATGCCATAAACCGTACTTATATATCAACTGTTCGGTTCGTTCACTTCAATTGTTGGCAGTGGAACAAAAATTGTCTCTCTGGCCTCTGATGTCTGCGAAGACGCACGCAGAAAACAAAAGAGCGAAGTTTCCTTGGTAATTGATAATCTCCAAATAGAATATCACAAAAAAATGAAACGCTGATAATGCAATGAGGGTTTTGTTTCTGTGACTGCGTCACGTAGTTCCAACTACCATGATATAGAAAATAAAAATCCATATGAAGACAAAAAGATATATGTACTTTAAAGAGAACATACGAAAGAACAATAGATGACATGGATGAATTAGATGACTTCCGACAAAAAGTAATATTATAAATGCACTATATAGTCTACTAACCAGCCTTGATGCATGGCAGTGAGATTGAATATGAAGCTGGGAGAATTTGTATCATCAACATGCGGCTTTCAAAACTAGTAACAATAACTTAAATATGTAACATTAGAAGTTCAAAGCTAACACGTGTGCCTATTTTTATTTCTTTCTTTATAATGTCCTAACCATAGATAAAAGAACGCTGTTATTGGAATGCTTGATGTTGGTTGTGTGGAATGGAATGGGACTCCAATGTTATTGATCAATGGAATTACTACGTATTTTATGGGAATGTTTTATGTAACAAACCATAATTCTACGATTAATACTGTTTGAAGCATTATTTTGTTCCTATTCTAAAAAAGTGTGTTTTGATTGTTTCATATCTTCTAGAGACATTGTTCATGTTTCGCTGAAGACACGTCACCAGTCAAATGTGGAACTTGTTGTTCATGGTGATGTGAATTGTATCGTGTTACAAGTAAAACGCCTATTCTCAAAAAGTAATAATATATAATATTTGCAAGTGTTTACAATGTATTTTTTCGACTCAATTCCGATTCATATGGTAAGATTGGAGTTTGTTGCTTATGTTTACTGTTTTGAAAATGTATCTGTTTTTACAACAGCATTACCTCTTATGGACATTTACCCGTCCAGACTCTCTCAAACAGCATTTGCTATTTTCATTGCATCTTTGTGAATTTAGGTTATATTTATGTCTATTGCTACTTCGGGACCATTACGACGGAAACTGCATCGTTAACAGTCATACAAATAAAAGACTGCTTCTAAAGACTACCAGTGTCAGTTTGGTTAGTTCATAGCTAAACGGCGATTATGGTGACCCCTTTAAAAACTGATGTTTCAACTCCTTCATTATTATTCCCTGTACTGTGTATTATCACATTAATTTCCCCAGTGTTGCAGACTGTAATGAGTATACCGTTTAATACTTAGTTCATGCTATGAACAGCAGTTCAAATCAGGGTTGAATTTTGAAGTTGAAGTAACATTATTTAGTCCCAATTTTACAACATCCACCAAACTTCTCTTATTTCACGTAGACACAAAACTCTATCTTCTTTCCTATAGAATGTGTCTTTATTACATCAGATCGTACGTATGTAGGAACTAATTCTTTGTTTTGTAAGTAGGACTATGATGGCCAGAGGAGAGCAGAGAAATTGTCTCGGATTATCATAACCCTCTTTGGTGTGAGTATGTTTATGTGCACTTAAATAATTGAACCAGTGTACTATGGGATCTTAAGATGGATCTCGATGAAATTGTAGTGAAAAAATTGTTTGTTAATGATTAAGTAGCCATCAACAGCTAGGAAATCTGAACACTTAATTTCTTGTAGATTGTTGGGCTTGTGTGGGGCTACATCATACAGCAGTTTTCACAGACGGTATACATCCTTGGAGCAGGATTTGTTCTGGCAGCAATTGTGAGTACTGGTGTCTTTCTTGGGGGTGGTGTTTGAGAAGAGCATGGTAAGGGAACAACCGAATCCTGAAGACTTTTTTTTTGTGTTCAAAATTGATTAAATATAACAGACAACTGTAACATTAGCAGTGATAACTTCCCATAAAGTAACAAATTAAACTGAATATGTATGAACACAATTTGTGCAGTTTATTTAAATACAGTTCTAAAAGAAACCATCTTAATATCTGCAGTGAACACAGATTACACGACTAGTTACTTTTTATTATAGTCTTAAAATTGTGTTCCAGGAAGTCAGATGAAAATAGCTGTGATGGCCTGAAGTTGCAGGCAGAATATGGAAAAAAAATGCATATAGAATTTTTGAGGATATATTTTTGGAGAGAAAAAAATAACAGCATAATTAACAGAATAGGGGACAAATGCAACATGTTTTCATCTGTTCTGCTTCAAATCAAACAAATCTGAATTGCAAATATTCATTTTGGTCAATGCTTTGGCTGATTTTAAGATATTATTGTTGCATATCAGTTACTTGGGTGATGGTAGATTCGTTCATAAATATTTTTTGTTAGAAATTACGAAGTCCCAGCTTGAAGGCAAAGTGACTGACAACCATCATATTTAAGAAACTGTTATTATTGTTGAAAGAGTTCTCATTAGTGTAATCTATGCAGCCGAGTACTATAAAGTTAAGGACCCCAAGATGGAGCCAGCTTATTTCTCCTAAACATTGCACACTCAGGTTTCAAACACTGTCAAACCCTTAACACATTCAACATTATGAAGACCCGCTTATTTTTCAGATGACAATTCCACCATGGCCCATGTATCGGAGGAAACCTCTCCAATGGCAGAAACCTCGCCCAGAAAATGACGTGTCTGAGCAACCAACAAAATCCAAGAAGAAGAAATAGATATTGATGGTATCACATATTCATGTAATTTTAACATTCCTGTGTATGATTTCCCACTTCTGTATTGCAATAAATTGTACATGTTAGATGTTAAGTCACTGTTGTCCTATTACTTGTTCTTGGTATTAGACTGTTGATCGACTATGATGAAAAGTCGAACTGAGCCTTCAACCTGCACAGATTTCAACTACTGAATGCTGTCTGATATAACCCCAAAATTTTAGTCACCATATGACATTTTTGCTTCATTCATTATTTGTGTTACCTTCATAGCATGTTACAAATATTTCAATAAATATTTTTCTGGAACAAAAAATACAAGACACAATTTGTGTCCTGTTATTATTTTACATCGCAAATTTCCACAAAGTCCTATGTTTTTACAGGTCACTCATCAGAAAATTTAAAAGGCCTTAATAGGCAGTATTGTTGTTCTCAACTCAGATGTCTGCTCCCCAGATCACTTGACTCCATGTTGACTACCACTGTTTCAGTGCAGAGAAAAGCAAGTTGAACTTGATGTAGTGTGATCAAGGCATCTACAACACTTGGGAGACAAAGCTTTCACCAGTATGAAATTTGAAACATTGACTTTGCACCAGATGAGAGAGAAGCAGTGTCTCCTGCAAGTAAGATTGAGGAAATTCATCTGTCACATTCAAAGACTGATGACTAAACCATGACCTGAGAAAGTGTGAAGCACACACTTGTCCCACCACCTGGATTTGTCACTGAATCAAATGTTCTGTGCTGTGTGTAACCATGACAGGAAATTACATATCTCATGCACAGGTTTTCATGTTTGTCAGAGTGAACAGCATTTATGAGTCAGAATTAAGTACTGGACATGAGAGTCAAGTGTTAATGGTAGAGCATGTGCAAGCTTCACGGTCTGCACACTTGGCCTGATCATTAAATTAAAAACAAACATAGGTAGAACATATACCAAGCAGAGAGGGTGAAGAAATTTATTAAAAAAATTGGTCAGAAAACCTCAAGACAGACAAGAATGGCATAGGTGGAAGGATAACATTAGACTGGAAAAAGTTTCACACACATTTAGCACATTTTGTTATGTTAATTTATCTTTAAAAGGTATTAAAAAAGAAATCACTAGCTGTAAAATAGTAATTTTTCCAACTATGAGAAAATATTTACAGTAAGTTTCACTGAGAACACAGATCCAGTAGGATAGGATTATCCTTCCATTTTATCAGACCAACACATAATTCACATGTTTGCTTCATGGTTGTGCTGTCTGTAAAACTTCCTCAGTGTATAACAACTTGAATCTACATACAAAAACTGTAGACTACCAGTTAAAATTATTTTTTCTCCCTCTATGTACTCTTCATGAAGAATACTACCTGTCCTTCACTTTTCATGGCCACAGGTTAACATAATTCTGGCTTTTGGGGTTCAGCCATGTCGTATACTGAAGGTGTTCCAATGCACTGGCAAACACTGCAGTTTGTGGAAAGGAAGCTTTGATAGTGGCAGTTTAAACACCTTCAACACATGATATGGCAAAACTAAGAAACCCAAAATTATTCATTCATACATGCTACTGTTATGCTATCAGGTTTGTAGTGCCGAGTGTGTGAACAGGCAGACAAGCAGCAGGGAGGGAATGAATCTATTTATTTTGTGTTATAAACACTAACAACTAAGATTACACTGATGAAAGGAATACAGTGTACGACTATCGGAGGTTGCCAACATGGCACAAAGCCTTCATCCTTGTGTGAAGCAGTGATCACCACCAACACCTGGTGACTTTGCTGACAACACATTTAGACCAAACTATCCATCATAAGATGAGTATTAACAAGATCCTGTGAGTGTGGTACCCTTTGGGTCATCTTGAATATATTAAACCCCTCTATTACTATGGACAGAACTATTCTGTCACACAGAAGACTGCACTGCACATTAAAGATAGAATGATTCCACAAAGATACAGCACGCCATAATATTGAACTGTCTTGGCTTTAACTGGGCTACTGTCTCTGAACTGATTCACATATTACTTCATGATGCCTCATATAGTATAGGCTGTTTTGCATCACATGTGATAAATTGGTGAGAAAGCCTAGTTCAAGAGACAGGCACTGTTTTCTGCCTTAGATTTGAACCTAGTACTAAGTACAAGTCTGGTGTATTATAAGAGATCTGAATGAGCATGACAGAGAAACTAAATCAAACATGTAATTCTGTTCTGTGGAAGCAGAGTGAACCATGCTACGGACAACAGAGGACGAAGGCCTTGATTGGGAAAGTGTATGTTGCACCACCTGTACACATTGCTAACTATAGACACATATATACCTTCTATACACCTTAATGCTAACTATGAAATAGCCTACACACAGGTTTATGGTTCTAAAGTACCAGCTTGTAAACACAATGCAGCCCATATCTGATGTTATTAAATTTCTAATGTAATAATACAAAAAGAATAAAAATTTGTATCATAATGCTACCCAGTAGACAAATTTACTACTATTATTTGCTGCATCTACACCTGAGCGTGGAAATAACGTGAAGCCTATCAACCTTCAGAACATTAATCAGAATTTTGGATATTGTGTTAAAACCACTAATATGTCTAATATTTACTCAGTACACATAACTGACAGCTAGTTAACAATATTTAAACTATAAAATATCACTCATGAGGTTTTTGGATCTGCAGTGACTTCTGGAAGTTTCTTCTGACAATGATTATGGACTTACATACCAGTCCAATTTTTTTTTTTACATCTGAATACTGTGTGAAGTAAAAAAAATGAAAAAGGACAAATGGTGATTTTTATACAGCCATTAAAGACCACATAGTAAATAAATTGTTTAACTTAATACCATCCTCATCAGCAGAAAGCGTACAAACATACACACAGCTTTTTGACTCAAGATTCATACACATTATGGATCAGCATGAACACCAAATTCCCAGTCACAAAGAGAACCCACAACCTGCACTTCAGAGAGACAAATCCTGTTTCACTATACAAAGTACAAGGAGTAAGACAATCACTTAGAATTACAGTTATTTGGGATGTGAAAGCAATCATCTCACAATGACCAGGTTCTGCTCTGACTCCCATGATCCACATTCATTAATACTCTACTATCACATCATTGTACCATTCCGAATAACTGATTTTCAGTATTTCTAAATTCATATCTTGGGCACAAAAGGTTTTAATACTTTCAATCTCCTGTAAGTTCAAAAATAATTTTAATAAAATAGTGATACTCACTTTGGACTTGTTACCTTAAATGCTATATAGGACTGGCTGAAAAAGACTATCTGTTGTCACACAAAGTTTGCCAATGGATCCCAAAAGGGCAAGAATTATATATGATGTTAAAAAAATTTCAGTTTTGTGAGATATTTAGCCAAGGGACCTTGATCAAAACACAGATATATATATATATCTGCAAAGCATTAAATTTATCACCCAAAAAGTTCAACAGTGTCAAGAGATGCTGAATAAATTTTTTTTATGTAGAAAGTTATAAGAATCTTCTTACAGCTCCATTATAATACCTTAAAGTCATCAGATTCATTACAGATTACATTAATCTGTCTGGTGCAAGAAGCCAAGCCTACAGCAAATCATACGCAATGAAAGTAAGTCTCAGCATGCAACATTTAATTAACTACCTCTTTAAAAATAGACTTCTTTTCAGAAACTCAACACATGAACCGGATGCATCACAGAACCAACATGTCCGTATTTTACTGCATAACTGACAAATATCCAATGCACAGAGAATGAAAAATTAGTTTAAAAAGCACTTGGTATAAGGCAAAATTAAAAACTCACGCATAAGAAATAGTTTAAAATATAAATACAGTTTTAAATTGGCTGATTATATACCTTGTATGACTGATGATGGATAGGGCAGATAAAGTTTTCAGAGTGTACAGCACATCCTGAACCAACCAGCCGAGTTCACATTTCCATGGTAATACTGCTGAACTATGAGTTTCTTATGATTCAGAAAGAAATCTCTAATATTTAGGTCAAACTTTCTGCTTCAGTCTTCAGTGCACAAGTGAGGATGAATGGTTGGTCAAACACAGCAATGGACGCAATAGACCTAGGTGTCACTACTATTTTAGTGAAGAAGCGTCCAGCTACAGAGTGAGAAAACTCAGTCTCTGAACTGTGGTAAGTCAAGTGGTAAAATCTGCACTTGATCCTGCCAGTTCCGGCACACGAAAAATAATGTGGAAATACTGTCACAGCAACGTAAAGAATAAAAATGTCTAAACAAATCAACATTAACAAACAGGGAATATTTAAGCATCATATTTTGTATGCAATGCCAGATCATGCAAAACAAAATAATCATACTAAAGCCATAAGGTCACTATACAGCAGCGTTCCACAACGGGTATGCTGCAGCACTCTGGTCTGATGCCATGAAGGCTTCAGACATGCTGTGAATTTTTATAACAAATTGTAAGTTTGCATGCTGTAGTCAGAAAAAGACAATATTGTGTCTTTCATAACATGCACACTGGTTCACCATCGACAGTTTTATTCAACATATGGCAATTTTTGTTTTCATATGCCTGCATTCTCACAGGGCAAGGATTTGTATGTAGATACATATTTAAGACATATATAGTTTTGTACCTTCTTTTAGTGAAGCAACATTTTTTGGCATGTCATCGTGTGTGTCTGACAAATTAGGGTGTGCCATGGGTAAAAAAAAGGTTGCAGAACACTACCACAAGATGACCGACTACTTGTGCCATTGTTCTCATGATGTTGTGCACTGAACTTATGAATACCTAACAGTACCGCATACACAAAACAAATATTTTTGCATGTGTGTACAAACATACTTTAATATTTATTCTATATATCTAATCTTCCAACAGGTCTCATAGTCTAGCCAGTGTAAATGGTACAAATTCTGCTGCACATTACACAATTTCATCATGCGGCCAAAGTTTGAGTCAAATTCAAGTAAATGAAAATGCTACCCCCTCTCCTCAACCATGACAGATCACTCAGCTGGCTCTGTAATAATAATAAGGTATCAGCAATATTGACTCTGAAGGCCAGTCCCTGTTTTGCTGCACCATCACAGATGCCATAATCTTCTTCTTTATGATTGTTTTCTTTTATTGTTATTTCTTATAGTAATATATATAAAATCAATTTTGAGTATGCAATCACCTATAAACTATCAGATTTTGGTATTTATCCAGCAAAATAATAAATATACAAAACACTGAAATATAGAGAATAAAAACTCTTTGAATCTTTGTATCTGTAACAAAGCACAGATATC